TGCAGCATTTGAATCCAACAACCTCGAAAATCTTGGACTCATCCAATTCAACAGCATCAGCATGAAACCAATAGATAAATGGCCACAACGTTAGTACTTGCATGGCCACAACCTCAGTTAATTACTTGCTTCCACGGCCACAACAACAAAAATTAAAAACTAAAGAACATAAATCACATAGAAATATGCTAAAGTAATCTTACATTGGCATGTTTCACAGCGGACGTACATTAAATCAGAATTATATGGCTGACTACAAAGACGACAATCAGGTCTTGTCAAGTCCATATGTGGATTTCCTTTCAGAAGAATGTTCTTCAATCTGAAATCAATTCCATTGTCTTCACAGTTCTTCTTCCTCCATATCAAGCCCCAGGATAATTTTTTTCCTTTATTTACTGCTACAGAAGAATCGATTGATTTCACCTCAAGAAGACGCTGCACAGTTCCGACCGATGCAGATGACCCATTATAGACGCTTGCTTTTCGCGTTTATTAGTCGTGGCCGTGTTCAAAACATCTCGTCCTTGAAGTAAAGGACTTCTAGGGGACGCATTACAGATTTCAGTTCGAGTTAGAGCCCGAATCTGGTAGCATTGCTTGCAAGTTATCAAAAGCTCAACTTCCTCGTTCACAAGAACTGTTGAACTATTAACACATTGCTCTTGACAGAGACCTGCACAATAAAATTTCACTGGTAAGTACTTTGTTACTAATGTCATAAGCAAGAGAGGCCAGAACAGTGCAACTAAAATTTTTAAAAAGAAAATGAAAGGAATTCCACGAATTGTTAATATGAACCCAACCATTCCATGATTGGGTGCATCAAACAGATGTAGGCATTTTCTTGTAGAGCATTTCTTTTTGAATTATTCTAGTTACATCAATAATTGTACATAAGGGTCTACACCCCCCTCACATGAGGGGTGGGACCCATTGAAATAATATTTTTTTTATTCGAGCGGGTACCACCCCCCATGTGAGAGGGGTGTAGACCCTTATGTATGGGGTGATGTACCCTAGCAATGCTCTTTCTTTTTAGAAGTCATGTAAAAACTGAAACATAAACTTCCGTAAGTCTGACAAACTATTATAAATAGCAAGTTCAGACATTAGGAACCCTCCAACAAAGGACCTGTGCTCGCTAGCATATAATTAACGAAATAACAATTTACAATTAAGACAGGTATTAATGTTTTCCTAGATCTTTTAATCGTATATAAAATATTATTTAAATAGGTGATTAATCATTGAATGAGAGGCACACCCAGCGTGACAATAAAGCAGGATATACTCTACCGATGTTAGTCCATACTTCACTACCCCTTGCCCCCTTCTCTTAAAAATTTCTAGACTCGAGACGATTCCAAAAATATACAGCAATGCGTAGATCTTTAATTACAAATACATCATGATGGAACCAACAATTATGGTTCCATACTTCTTATCTTCCAGGGGGAGAGGGGACTGGTGTGCGATGAAGTAAAGGAAAGTAGGTTTGCCTCTAATGGAAAGAACAAGATGCAACTTTAGGCTTTTCTGGGAGAACCGCCAAAACAAAACAAAGCAATTCAATATCATTGGCCTACTTTTGTCCAAGTGACTAAATCAGTGCCCAGATAGGAGGAAGGGTAGAAGTAGGTCTAGAGGAAGCTTTGGTAAATTGTTTCTCAGAGTAGCCTCTATTTTATTCTTGCAGGATCAAGGAAAAGTCAAACAGGGATGCCGCAAAGGAGACTGAAGTTTGTCCAAGATAACAAAGTTGATAAGAACATAAAACACACATCACAAATAAAGGAAGTCTGCAAATATGAAGTATACAGGTTCTTCATCATGTCATTGCTTGCTATACAAAATTAACATGTGAATCCTAGAGATATATGCTAATTCCTTCCAAAAGTAGGTATCATAAATGTCAAACAGTAGATTAGAGATACGGATGCCATATCTTCTCCACTGGCTATGGTTGCACCACTAAATGGTGCTATTTAATACAGTTTTAATTTACTTACACAGAAACAATAAGGAAAGAGGCCCAATGACCTCTACTCTGAATTTGTAACACCCTTACCTCCATTTCATATTAAACTACCATATCATTCATAGTATTTGATTCATGGATGAATTGTGTTCAATAGCTGAAACACTAGGATGGCTCCGTTGATACCAATAAACACCATTAAAAACTCTTGAAAACAACATATAGCACCAACTATATAAGAAACGCAGATGTAACAGAAAAGAAAAATGAGATAACAAAACAAAATTTGATTTACAAACAAAAATGATTAAAAAGCAAAGTGCTTGTAATGTTATGAGATTATTTTGCTCGGTTGGGGATATAAAGGAGAGATGATTTACACGTGTTAAACATCTAATTCTATTTTTCGCCCGGTCTACTACACGCATCGCTGTTTTCTGGTACTCACATTTTAGTTCCTTTAGCATTAATTTAGAAGAGGGTTATTTGGGAATTCCGTAGTTTACAGTATGTTCCTCAAATTGGTTAAGTATATGGGAAGTTAAAAAAAAATAAAATTCAAACCGTTAGAGAAGCAATTACAATTCAATACAAAAAGATGGTATTGCAATACCTTGGCATGCACTGCACTCGACAGAATTCCTGAACATCACAAATATTGCAATATATTAAAGAAAGAAAAAAAGTGCAGGAGCTGTAAAAGAAAAGGGAAAGACGTGTGAAACAAAATACCTAAACAAGACATTCTGATGACATGAAGAACAAACTGAAAACTCCCCTATTGTCTCGCTTCCATAACAGATAAGAGAATATATTTTTGCAGGAACCCTTCAACTGCCTCCTCTGCAACTTGGACAGTACTTTCTATTTCTATTACACGTTTCATCACTCGAGAAGGAAGATTCTTCTGACTGAAGAAATAAATTTCCTATTAATTAGTTTATCAATTAGTTGGTTGTTATAAAGTTGTTACAACAAATTAGTTATTAACTCCTGCTCTAACTAGCTGGAAGTGAGTGCTTTTTTGTGTATAAGTACAATTTCATTCTCATTCAATAAACGAGAAGTTATCCTTCCTCATTACATATTTTCAGCCATATTTACATCTCTGCAAACATTCAGCAGATTTATGGCTTGATTTCTTCACTGACTCCCAAAAGCAACGCAATATCTAATTTCGTGTTCCATGTTTTTCTTACCACATATAAAAGCATTTTTAAAAGCAGAAGCTTCCGTTTCTAGACCTTTTCCATCAAAGGGAATCTGTTCCGGACGAACAAGATCAATCCATCTGACATGAAAATCAAGGTATCTGACCTGATGCAAGAGCCAATTATATGTATTAGGGGAAGTATCATTAAATATCAGCAAACCTGATTGCTGCCAGAAGAAAGTAATGAAAAGCACAGACATATAGCCAGGATACAACAGTTGAATGATAAAATGTACCTGAAGTGCAAGCTGTGATGCATTCTTAATCATCTCAACTGCTGACCGCCAGAGAAGCTGCCTGCTTCTTTTGGGAGTCTCACGACCTTCGACATAATGAATACCTGGTATCGTTTTTGAACCACCTGTATGCTAATATAAGCTACTTTTAGATCTAGCGAAATGGTAATTCTACAAAACAGTGCAAACATTACAAAACAAAGGTACTATGCAATGAGCTTTTTCCACAAAACAAGAAAAGCTAGGAGTGTCTATATTACCTTGCCGGGCTGCATTTTTTATCATTGAACGTGGAAGAATCCCTCTCTGGAATATACACTTTGATAGTGTTCCTCCTCGCCACCAAGTGAAATCACTCAACAAGTCCTGGCAATCAATAGCAACTTCAGCCATAGCAGATGGCTTCCTGCCACGCCTCCTTGGTCTACGCTTCTGAGTAGATCCAGCAGCACTGGCTGCACTCTGAGAGGCAGACGATTCAGTTGAACAACCTTCAACAAGCTTCACCCAATCTCCAGAAAGAGCAATAGTGCGTATGTTCTCCTCAAGCTGAAAACTCAAACACCGTCATGCAACTGAATGTATACAAAGTTCAACAAAAAAATATCATAAGCAAAATATCAGCTGTATCTATTAACTATCAGTCGTTGGGTAAATGGTCACGAGGGAAATCTCAACCCCGTGAAAGATCAAGATCATATATTATAAAATACTAAATTTCTTGCTACCCAGGTTCCTCGTACATGGAGAGCAAGAAAACATAAGCACGCACGTCGCGTAGATAAACAGTGTTACATGAACACTGGACAGTCAAGTACTACTTGCATCATCAAAGCATTGGTGCCTTCACATCTACTGCCTATAGGACTTGATCGGACTGATCAATAATCAGAGAGTGGAAACACAAATTAGCACGAAAACCAGCTATAGCAAGAAGCTTACTTCAAGCAAAAGGGTCTTTACAGCATTGTAAGTGGTTGCATGTTCAATCTGTTTACGCCATCGTTTCCTGAAAGCGTCATTAAGGAAGGGACCAACTACTAGACCGCCTAAACTCTCTTCCATGAACATTACATATGCTGAAATTCCAGGAAGACTCCCTTCCCCCTTTTTTGCAGAACGCAATCCTGCAAGGGCCTTCATAGCCCCTTTGGTTGCATTTGAAGCAGCTACATTTAACAAACATCCTCTCTTGCTTGCCACCTGAGCCTTACAACAAAAGCACTAGCTACACCTTTCCCTTGGCACTTCCAGAAGCTTCTTCTCAGTAATTGGCCAGAAGAACTGCATAGCTGCTGATGAGAATGCTTTTACCTGAAGAGAAACTCTAGCAGATGCTGATGCAGCAAATTCTCCATGCAAATAATGATTTGCATGGAGAATTTGCAGCTGCTGATATAAGAATAGCCAAATTTGCAACTGCTGATGCAGCAAATTCTCCATGCAAATAATAATTTATGTATCCGTGCATCTTGAAGGATGAGCCCGTGTATAAGAAACTGTTGGACGAACTTCTACAAGATTCTGTGTCAACTGTGTCTGTAAGTTTTAGGCAAGGAAGAGAAGCTTTGGTGCGAATAAACGTACCACTGACTGGCTCCCGGCAGTTAACATTGCAGTATGAAACAACTTCTGTTATACTTGATGTACTTTGTTGGCTTAACTCAAAACAATCTGCTGCTTGGCCAACTGAACCAGTAAATATAGCCGGTTCAGTCATTATGGGTTTCAGTAGAGAACTAGACAGTTTTATTTTGGACACACTGTTCTCCTCCTGATCAGGTGGAAGCTCTGTATCCATAAAGTTTCCACTCGGCATGGGTTCCTGAACAGAGTTCTTAAGAGATGAAATGATCAAGTTCCTTGAACTAATAGTTTCACAGCTACCAGTGTTCCCAACTTCAAAATTCTCTGGGACCGACTTGTACATCAATGTAACCAAGTGGGTAGTACACTCACTACTTTCCTTATTGTTTGGTAACTAAATATCAATTTCAGATGTTCTATTTTGAGGTAACATGTCCTCTGGCATTTCCAAGTACTGCAAAATCCCCTTGCATATATTTGAATACATGGTAACATGCTCCACTTTCAAATGAAGTGCTTGGAGGACTCTATGAATGTCCTGTCTATGATAGTATTTGAGACAAACTTCTGAGTTAATTGAGGCCTTCAACCTGCAATTTCATTTTGTAACAAAGATCAAATTAACATTGCAGAATGGCAGACAGAGAAAAAAAAGAAAAAGAAAAGAGGAAGTTTGATGTTATTTAAGAGGTCAACGCGCGTATCATCTTACTTATCTTAGTTCAAAAAAGAAAGATTCTGAATGTTGACAGAGTAGAAAGAATACAAGGCATTAGAAACTTACACAAGTAAATGGTCACAAGTACCCACAAAGACTTGTTCATAACAGTCAACGCCGAAATTTTCTCCTGCCCTTAGAGCAATACCTATCAGAATTTTAGGTCCTATTGCATTTATTTTACACTCGGGACAATACTATTAGAATCCCACATTGTTTGGGAAAATATAAATGATCCACTTAATAAGGTGAGTGCAATCCTCCCCTAATAAGCCGGTTTTATTAGGTGGAGTTAGGCTCAATATTCCTAATATGGTATCAGAGCAATAGCAATAATTTTTCATTAAGCAAGTTGATAAATAGAACATGTCAGTTGTAGCTGATTGTGCTTCCACTCCAACTGATGATCCAAACAGCCATCACTACCTGCATCCAAATGATAATCCAGGAGCATTAATCATCTCAGAGGTCTTCAATGGGGACAACTACATATCATGGAGCCATGCAATATCCATGGCATTAAGTGTGAAAAATAAATCAGGATTATTAATGGATCTTTGAAAGCCCCAAATCCATCAACAGGTAACGTGTACAGCTGTTGGCTTCGAGCAAATAATCTGGTCCTATCCTGGTTATTGAATTCGATCAGCAAGGAAATTCGCCAGAGTCTACTATATATTTCATCTGCATTTGAAGTCTGGAATGAGTTGAAAATTCGATACAGCAGAAGTGATGGGCCTAGAGTTTACCATCTAGAGAAATGTCTCAGTGCCATCTCACAGGGATCACAAAGTCTCACCTGCTATTATAATTCATTCAAATCCATATGGGAAGAATATATTAGCTATAGGTCTTTACCAAAGTGCAGGTGTGGGATACTGTCGACTTGTACTTGTGAAATCCTGAAAACCATATCAGATACTCAGCAAGCAGATGTTGTCATGAAATTTCTTATAGGATTAAATGAATCCTATTCTGCTCTACGAAGTCAACTGTTACTTACTTCACCACTGCCATCACTAGCAAAAGTATATGCCCTTATGCTACAGGAGGAGAGTCAAGGGATCTGCAGAACTCTTCCACGATGGAATCATCAGCTATGATGTCAAGACAACCATACAACAAACCTCCTCCTTGGAAGGACAAAAGAAAAGGAAGATGTACTCACTGTGGTTATTTCAATCATACTGTGGATAAATGCTTTCATTTGATAGGTTTTCCACTTGGTTGGAAGGGATCCAAAGGATCAAGGATTTCAGTAGAAAGCCCTACTGCACATATCGTAACTGGTGATCAGTCCACAGAGGGTGAAGGTTCAAGTTCATGTTTTAATCAAGACCTCTCAGCAGATGCTTCCTCAATCAACAACCCATTCAACAGCCGTTTCCAACACAGGTATATCACTTTGCAATTCAATTTTTTCTAAAGCCAAAACCAGAACTTGGATTATCGATACTGGAGCTACAGACCATATGCTTTGCTCACCTACTTTTCTATCATTAGTTGATTTCACCACAAGCACAAAAGTTAATTTGCCTAATGGATCATTCGTTCCAGTTACTCACATTGGGAAAGTAAAAATTTCCGAAACTCTTATGCTTGATAATGTGCTGTGTGTACCCTCTCATTGTTTTATACAGGATCAAATTAGCAAGAGGATGACTGATTTTGCTAGAGAAAAGGATGGATTATATCATCTCATTCACACTCAAAAGCAACCTTCATCATCATCTGCCACTTGCACTTCCAGATGAAATGCTGCTGCTAATGCCAAATTCAACCTGTGGCATTATAGATTAGGTCACATCTCTAGTATTAGGATGTCCAAAATTCCTAGCATTTCATCAAATCATTTATGTAAGAATTCAAGTGTTTGTGAAATTTGTCCTTTGGCAAAACAGAAGAAGTTACCATTTCCAGTAAGTATTTCAGTTTCAAATAAAATTTTTGATTTGGTTCATGGTGATATTTGGGGTCCATTCCATGTTCCTTCTCTTGGTTACAAGTTCTTTCTCACTATAGTCGATGATTATTCTAAATGCACGTGGGTTTATATGATGCAATCAAAAGCCGAAACTCGCAATCTTGTAAAGAAATTTCATCAAATGGTTATTACACAATTCAATACCAGGATTAAAATTTTTCGAACAAATAATGGGGCTGAATTCCTCATAAATGATTTCTATAATACACACGGCATTTTACATCAAACAAGTTGCTTTGAAACCCCTCAGCAAAATGGAACTGTGGAGAGAAAACATGAGTTCATCCTCTAGGTTGCCAGAGCACTTCTCTTCCAGTCAAATGTGCCTCTTCATTTTTGGAGTGACTGTATCCTGTTTGCAGTTCACATCATTAATAGAACTCCTTCCTATCTCTTAATGATAAAAGACCATATGAAATCCTTTTTCAAAAACCACCAGATTATTATCATCTCAGAACCTTTGGGTGTCTATGTTTTGCCAGCACACTAACCAGCCACAGAAATAAGTTCTCACCTCGAGCATCAAAATGCATCTTCATTGGATACCCACTTGGTTCCAAAGGATATAAAGTTTATGATCTTCAGAATCACAGGCCATTTATTAGTCGAAATGTTATTTTTCATGAATTCTCATTTCCTTATATGAGTCATCCACTTCACTCTCCAACTGATCATCGAATTTTTCCAATTCCTGAACCTACACTGGACATCCCTTATCAATCTACCCAACACACATCTCAATCTCCAGGCATAAATATTGAAGATCCTTCTTCCAATGGTAATATATACTCCCCTATACCACCAGGTGTAAGCAGTCTACATCCTTCTCCTATCACAGCTGAACGATCATCTCTAGTTTTTCCCAACCAACCAGAAGATCTAATCGCTAAAAACATCCACCCTCTTATCTCACTGATTATCAGTATGATCTGCCTGCCTCTTCAGTAGCACTCCAGTCATCCGGCAAGCTGGCTAGATCCCCTGCTTGTGGTAAGCCTCGTTCATTATCTGATTTCTTATCCTATGGTAGACTGAATCTCAGACATAAAGCATTTACTACCTCTATTACATCTGCTTATGAACCAAAATTTTATCACCAAGCTATCAAATTCCCACATTGGCAAGCGCCATGAAAAGCAAAATTCAGGCCCTTGAGAAAAACAACACTTGGATTCTCACTCCTCTGCTGCCTGGTAAGCAGAAAATCGGGTGTAAATGGGTTTACAAGGTCAAATTTAAAGCTGATGGTTCTGTGGAAAGGTATAAAGTACGACTGGATGCGAAGGGTTACAACCATCAAGAAGGTCTGGACTTCTTTGACACTTTCTCCCCCGTGGCAAAATTAACTTCAATTCGTGTTCTTCTAGCAGTGGCAGCTGTTAATAATTGGTTTCTCCACCAATTAGACGTTGACAATGCGTTTCTTCACGGTGATCTCCATGAAGAAGTGTACATGGATTTACCTCAGGGTTATGACAACAATGATTCCTCACTTGTGTGCAAACTAGGCAAGAGTTTGTATGGCCTTAAACAGGCGTCTCGTCAGTAGTTTGCAAAATTGACCTCCAGCCGTCTCTCCTATGGTTTCTCTCAGGCTAAATCTGATTTATCTTTATTTCTGAAGTCTTCCAAAGCTTTCTTTATTTTTTTATTGGTGTATGTTGACGATATCCTGCTTGCAAGCAATGATCTTCATGAAATGCAGGTCATCAAGGAATTTTTGGATGCTTAGTTCACTATTAAGGATTTGGGAGAATTAAAATACATTCTTGGCTTGGAGGTGGCTCGATCTCGTCATGGGATCAGTATTTGTCAATGTAAATATGCCTTAGATATCCTCAATGATAGTGGTTTTTCAGGCTGCAAGCCAGTGGGATTTCCTATGGAATCTTCCCTCAAACTCATAAGCACAGATACTGATCTCTTACTTGATCCTTCAAGCTATAGACGACTTATTGGCAGGCTCATTTATCTTACCATTACACGACCTGACTTGTCCTACTCTGTGTAGGTTCTTAGCCAGTTCATGTCTAAACCAGCCATGACTCATCTCAGTGCTGCCCACAGGGTCCTCAGATACATTAAAGGTACACTAGGCCAGGGATTGTTCTTCTCCTTACAGTCTCCTTTCCATTTGAAGGCATATAGTGATAGTGACTGGGCTGGCTGCCTTGATACAAGGTGAAGCATCACTGGGTTTGCTATTTTTCTTAGGGATTCTCTTTTTTCTTAGAAGTCAAAGAAACAATCCACGGTGAGCAGGTCTTCAGCTGAAGCTGAATATAGAGCTTTAGCCTCGACCATTTGTGAAATTCAGTGGCTGCTCTATCTCCTACATACCTGGCGATTGATCATTCTCATCCTACCCTTCTCTGTACTGATAGCAAATCTGCCATTTCTATTGCCACTAATCCAGTCTTACATGAGAAGACTAAACATATTCAAATTGACTGCCATTTCGTTAGAGAAAAGGTGCATTCTGATTTGATCAAAATTGTGTATGTTCCTTCCCATCACCAGGTAGCAGATGTCCTCACTAAGCCTCTAGGCTCTGTCCTCTTCTATTCCAATATCTCCAAGATGGGCATTTTGAATATCGATGCCCCTCTTGAGGGGAGATCTTACGGCACAGATACACATTCCTCACAAGCAGATGGAGCTGAAAGTTGAACAGCAATCAGCACATGCCAGCACTTGCACACGCCCTCACTTGATACCCAGCTGGAAGAATCAATTAGTTAGTTAATTGATTGTTAGTTTGATAGTTGGGAATTATTCTTTTCTTTTGCTAGTGAGTTTATTAGTTAGGGAGTTTGTTAGCCTAGTAATTCTATAAATAAATTGATGTAATTCACAATTACTTAAGTTGAAATAATAGAAAGTTCATTCTCTCCTCTTTCTCTTTCGATTGATGCAGCAATGTCTGCAAAATATATTAAATTGTTTTCATAATTTTACATGATATCAAAACCCATTATACTCTAACGGACGATTCGATCCCTTTAAGACTCTAAAATGAGCACGTGGATTTCAAGATTGGTCTGCTCAAATGAGCCACCATCTTGTGGGGGCGTGTTAAGGAAAATATATCCTACATCGATAAATGATGTAGACACAGATCAATTAATAAAGATCTTGGGCTTAAGAATATTGAGCCTAATTCTACCTAATAAAACCGGCTTATTAGGGGAGGATTGCCCTCACCTTATTAAGTGGATCATTTATATTTTCCCAAACAATGTGGGATTCTAATACGTCCCTTCACGTACAGCGTGGATCATGCCAAACAA